TGAGATTTCTTTCATGAGATCATTTCCATCCACAAGCCTAGTAGAAGTCAAGCTTTCTTCACTATCCCCAGACCAGTGGGCTGGGTTTTTTCTATTGCTTTTCATAGAAGGCTGACTACCGGTTTTACATAGGGAGTTTAATTCCAGCTTCTCACCATGCACAGATCTAAGGCTTCATTTTCCATTCCCATCCCAGCCGTATAACACCAGCATGAAAACAGCAGCGTTGAGTCATAAGCTACCTTAAGTACTGCATTTCTCAGGGACTTCCTAAATAAGCTTAAACTAAATTTCATCCTGGCAATAAAGTCCTACCTCCTTTGATCAACAATAGTATATTTCTAAATCAGATTATCCTCAAGGGTTGTTTGGCATCAGCTTCTCCTCACCTTTCCGACCTCTTTATTCCTGACACCTTTGGCTTCTCCTTCTTGGGTTTAAGATTAACCCTGAGTTTTCATTTTCTTTTACTGTGATCAACTTTTAAAATTTTCCAGCGTTTCTATGTGTTTGAAGCAGGAAGAGGGATTTCAAATGATTGCTCATCTGTCATATTGACTAGAAATGTTCCCAACTTTTGTTTTAATCTTACCTTGTTGTAGTAGTTGCTGTTAGCATATGATCTCCTTCTTTGGGATGTTTGTGGAGAGACAGACAGTACCAGTCATGTTTCCTAATTTATTTTTCCTGTCTAGGTTTTGGAGTGTCACAGACCAAAGCCATCATGACTCTGGTCTCTGGGATTCCAATGGGCCCACCCCGGCTTCCACTGCAGAAAGCCTCCAGGGAGTTTACTGATAGTGCTGAAGCTAAACTGAAGAGCCTGGATTTCCTTTCTTTCACTGATTTAAAGGATGGAAGCTTGGAAGCTAGTAGCTAGTGCCTCTCTATCAAATCAGGTTTTGTACCTTGAGACATAATCTACCTTAAATAGTGCATTCTTTTCTCAGGGAATTTTAGATGAACTTGAATAAACTCTCCTAGCAAATGAACTCTCACATCAATCGACAAGCATTGAGGTACCTATTGTGAGCCTTAAAATGTCTTACTTTGTGAAGGGGCAAAAACTCTAGGAGTCACAACTCTAAGTCATTCATTTCACAGATTTTTTTGTGGAGAAATTTCGGTTTATATGGATGAAGTGGAATCAAGAGGAAAATTGTAATTGATTAATTCCATCTGTCTTTAGGAACTCTCATCTCAATTTCTGGTTCCTAATCCTATTTTAAAGTTGTCTAATTTTAAACCACTATAATATGTCTTCATTTTAATAAATATTCATTTGGAATCTAGGAAAACTCTGAGCTACTGCATTTAGACAGGCACTTTAATACCAAACTATAACACGTCTCAACTATATACAACTCGAAATACACCAGCTCATCTGGTTGCTCAGTCTAACTCTAGAATGGATGCTTCTGAATTCATTTCGATGTCACCACTTTCCTCTCTTCAGAAACGTTGGGTCAGGTGATGACTTGTTTCAGTTCCTATAACTCAGTACAGGTCAGCTTTCTCATAACAAAGGAAAAGGTCTTCCCCAAAGATGAATTTAAGTCTCTACTTTTTGCTATACAGAAAACTCAAAGTTTCTAAGAACCAAAGGGCTCTTCCTCTAGGCACCACAATCTTCCCCTTTCTCCACTGAGAAGACTGTCTCTCCCACAGGACCCTGAATTATTGAAATCAAAGGCCGACTTCCTTTCTGCAGTGAGCCCGGAGGCTACTGTTACTATCCTGTCACACTTGCAACCAGTTACTTTTCTTTAGTGATAGAAGATTTGGGGAGGACCCAAAGGACTCACAGCTTTCTCTCCATACCTCCTTTTACTCTTTTCTTTCTGTGTAACATATCAACAACTGTTTAATCTCCCTTCTAGCAAACCTTGATGTAAGCTTTCTGATATCAAAGTATATTGACAGTTAACCCTTACTGATTTTAAACTTGACTATCCAGTCTGTTAATTACCTAAGATTTTGTTTTCATTTCATCTCAAATTGTTTTGATCATTGGCAGAGAAAGAGTATTTGAAATTCATATCAGTTTTGCTCCTTATTTTAATCTCTTTGAATTAAAAATAACACTTTTTCAAAATGCAAATTTGAAATTATAAGTAGACTTCAATTATCTTTGCTAATCCTCTCTTTAATTAGCTAGTTAAAAGTTGTTATATTTATATATCCTCAACTCTCTTTTTGCCTTTTTAGCTGTTAATTTCCTGAAAGAAGAAAATGAGTTTTTGTTAGTTTTTGGTTCTGAGGATATGATACCCTTACTTAATGATACTAAAGCCAAATTTAAATTTTAAAATTAATTCTTGGGTATCCAATAAACAAAGAACTATTTTTCTATTTTTGCTTTTGTGAAGTCAGTGCTTAGAGGATTTTTAAGATGGTTAATGAGCTTTTGTGAACATAAAGAGAGATATGATTTTAAAATGGCCAGGTCTGAGTTTAGCTCTGTTAACATCCAGTAGCTTAGAAATGAATATCATATAGCAGTAGGCTATTAATAGTGCACTTAACAAGTAAAATTTTGGAATACTATTAACTTATTGTTTTGTTTATAATATATTCCTAAATTGTTTTTAACATTAAAACTACAGTAATGGCATGTGAAATATTTCATTCAACACAGTACTAAAAGCTGATTTCCAACCTCTTTGTTTCAAGATAGAAATCTGAGATCAGTCCATTGGGGATGGTTGGAGGGACAGGAGTGATTTTAGGAATTGGTTTTACTTAGGATCTCTCTTGGGTTTATTCAAAGACGTAGGAAAATGCCATGGGGGTGAGGTGGCAGTAGGGTGGGGGGCAGTGGGAGTAATGTATATTTTTTCCTAGAAGGGTTATTTGCCACAACTTGAGATAAATTTCTTCTTTCTGATCACCTGAAGGGCACAGAAAATCCAAACTCTTAGGAGGCTGATGTCTAAGGCTGGGTTGAGGGACTTTGCGTAGTGACTGCAACCCAAGCTTAGGTACCCACCTGAGCTCACCAAGGCTTTTCATACAGGGGAAATGGAGTTGGATCTACAAACCCATCAAATCAAGTAGACGAAACAACACATCCAAGCCATTTAACCATTCCCTTATCACATGCTGACTCAACCCTCAATTTCCTCCAGTGAAAGTAAGAGGGAAACTTGGAACCAAAATTATGCAAATAGCAGAGCTAAGCCCCAGGTAGAGGCAGAGCACTACCTCACACTTTGGGTTTCTGGGGCTGAGAAATGGCTATCTGGGTGAACAAGAAAACCCAAATCGTAGTTTCTCTGTGAACCCCTTGGTGACTCTTAGGAAATTATTTGATATATAATACATTTTAGCATTTTAAGTTACACAACCAGAAGGAGAACCCTAAAGCATTTTCTTAAGTCTTAATCACACAATTAATAAATATAATGGAATGGATTCAACAAAATACATAGAGAACTATATCCAACAGGATGTGTTACCTTTATCTGTAGACCAGTTACAGAGAGTGTTGAAGTTTTATTCCAGAGGGACCACCAAAGGAGATTATACATCAATCACACGTTCACCTCTGATATGTTTTCTCTGATATATTCTGCTAGAATGCCCTTCATGAATATCAGCGTCCCATGTTTGAGCCAGATGTTGGGTTAGGCCCTATAGGCATGGAAATTGTCACAAATGCCAGCCTTTGGTGTGAGACACAAGCCTTCTCATCTATCAGCAAGCACACAAAACAAGGTTATCTTTGAGGTCATGGGGAAGTGGGTTCCCACAAGTGGGCAAGTACATCAGCATCTCAGTATGGTCTACAGTCCAAGTCCAGTTTGCACCACTTTAAAGTTATCCTACCTCAGGTAGAAGGAGGTGGGATAATGACCACATACTACATTCTTGAGAATCCTCAGATTAGGGTGAAACAAAGTGATCCACCCTCAGAGCTTGAATGAGTGGGCACATTTAATGCATGTTAGTGAGAGTGGCAAATAATATTCACAGGCTGTTTTAGTTCATTCTCATGCTGCTAATAAAGATATATCTGAGACTGGGTAATTTATAAAGGAAAGATGTTTACAGTTCAGCATGGCTGGGGAGAAGGGGGAGCAAACACATCCTTCTTCACATGGCGGCAGCAAGGAGAAGTGCCGAGCAAAAGGGGGAAAAGCCCCTTGTAAAACCATCAGATATCGTGAGAACTCACTCTCATGAAAACAGCAGGATGGGAGTAACCACCCTCATGATTCAGTTAACTCCCATCAGGTCCCTCCCACAGCAGATGGGGATTATGGAAACTACAATTCAAGATGAGATTTGGGTGGGGACACAGCCAAACCATATCACAGGCCTAGCTGGTCTTCAGGTTGCAGTTACTATCTGAACTCCCCTGAACATTAACCAATTAGTATTGTCCTTTTCCTAAGGTAATAACCTCAATCAGGTTTGACTTCCCAATTTGAGCAGAACTCCAGAATCATTCAATTAAAACACTAAATATATTCTGCCTTTAGCTCTTTCATTTGTCTATATAGAACTGTACCTATCTGTATATCTCTCAAGATCCTGCAATATGGCCAGAGGAAAGTGGTGGGGGATGGAGGTGCAGAAGAGGGACCAATTTCCACAAGGTGGTAAGAGGGGGCTTCTCTGGGTCCATTACACTTAATATGAAATTAGAATGTTGGAAAGAAACCAGTCAGGTGAAGAGTAGCAGAGGATGCATTCCAGGTGGTAGGACCAACATATTTGACAGTTCTGAGCCATGGGAGAGTCTGGAGTGTGAAGAACTGAACAGAAGCCAATGAATCAGAGCTCAGACACCAATGAGAAAGAGTAGGAAGTGATTAATGTAAAGCGACTGCAAAGGAGCCAGCTCCTGTAAGGTGTTGTAAGCCACAGGAACATTAAACTCACCGTGTTTTTCTGTGCTGTAACTTTAAGTGCTATAAATTTAGAGTGTAAAATAACTATAGGCCCCCCCGAAGACTAAAAAATTGGTAAAGAAGGAAGAAAGTTTACAACAAGCCTTCATTACATTATAGTTTGTAAATAAACTGTCTTTATTATTTCAACTTGTTTATATAAGCTTATCTCTGGTAAAATTGATTTTTTTGGTCTGAATTTGTTTAGTTTTCTTGGGTTTACACAGAATGCATCATGATTTTCCAGTGAAAATATTATTTTCATTTAGTGGCTTTTCACTTAGCAGTAGGGTTTTCAGGAGTGAATTAAACGTAATAACGAGGAAAAGGTATATTTCTATTCAGCAACAGATAATTCTAGTATCTAAAACATTTATAGATATAATTCTGTCAGTTTTCTTTTTCTGCTGGCACTCAACTCATTGGACTTTGTTTTTTAAAAACAGAGACAGGGTCTCACTATGTTGGCCAGGCTGGTTTTGAACTCCTGGCTTCAGGTGATCCCACACCTCAACCTCCCAAAGTGTTGGGATCACCCACATGAGCCACTTATACCCTGCCACTCATCAGAGGTAAAGATCCTCACCTGTTTTATGATTTTTTGAACTTGAGCTTATATTCAGTGGAATTTTATAGGAATTATTTGAGGTCTGGATAGAAGACTATTCCACCAAAGAGAATATAATTTTAATCCTTCTAAGTGATTTATTTCCGCTGATTAATAAGCACTTTAAATAATTGACTTGAGGGTTTTTTGGATATCATAGGAAATGAGTCTTTTTTTTTTTTTTTTCCTACCTAGCATCTAGTTTTTGATAGACAAGTTTCCTTATTCCCCTCTTCTGGTTGGTTTGGTTTTTCATTGTTGCTATTGTTGTTCACTTTTCACTGAAGATATAAGGCATTCTGGCTTATGTGTAGGTCTCCTCTTAGCCTCTGCATGTTGGGCAGTCTTTTTTGTCTCCTTTCTCCTAAGCTCCAATGCAGCTTTTATTAAAAGGAAGCTCAAGTTCATTAAAAATCAGCAGACCCTTTCAGAGTAGGTGCTTACGTCAGGGTTCTTTTGCCTCTCTGGATTCATTCATTCACTTCATTAATGTTTACCTCTAAAGCATTTTCTTTCTTGGCAGCACAACAATGCATTTTTTTATTGTATTCAACATTTTCTGTTTTCAATGGTAAGTTTATTTAGGGCATCTCCATTTTTTTCAAGCTTTTGGAATCTTTTGCTTTCAATTCGTCTTTTAAAGACAGCAAATTTATATTTTGCTACAGGTTCCACTCTGAGTCATTTTCTCTTAATAGATTATTATGTCCCATTTACCTTTATTGAAAATCTTTCTAAAGTAGTTTGTAGAGGGAAACATTAATTTGTTCAGGTAAATAAATACAGTAATTCTATACTAGTATCCAGTAAGAAATTATAAATTCTAGATATGTGAAACTAATTAACACTGGAAAAAAGTAAAACCCCATAACCTTATAGAAATGTGTTCTTGTGGTGGCTCGTGCCTGTAATCCCAGCACTTTCAGAAGCTGAGGTGGGAGGATCAGTTGAGGCCAGGTGTTTGAGACTAGCCTGGGCAACATAACAAGACCCTGTCTCTACAAAAAGAAAAGAAAGACATGTATTAGTCTCAGTTAAAGCTTGTATAAAGCAAGCAACAAAAATGCTCAAATATATAAATGCATGGGTAAATAAAGCCCTGAACTAACTTAATATGGGAACCATAAAAGCAAATGTGAATATGGCATTTCAAGACTACATAACTAAGAAGCAAGCCAAACTATAAATTAATTCCTGTAGAATAAATATGGAGAAAGCAAATATAACTGTAAAAATGGAGCAAAGCATGTTGCAAAATCCTGTGAATGTGAATAGATTTCTATGTAGCCATAGAACTTGTAGATTAACAAATGGTTCAAGAAAAACTGGTACAATGGAGACAGAAAAATGATTTCCAATGTTATGATTGCTTATAGAAAAGACAAATAGTCACTTATACATATGTACAAGCAATAAAAAAGAAGTCTAATAGAAATTGGCTGTTGAATGACCATAATTATATAACAAGAAAATAATTTTAAAAAGAATCAGATAGGTTCTGTTCTTCATTCTCAAAAGCTAGACTACCATTTTTGCTGGAATTCACATTATATACTTCATCTGTGTCACTCATTGCATTAAAAGCGTCATCAGTCCTTTAAACCAGCAGTCCCCAACCTATTTGGCACCAGGGACAGGTTTCATGGAAGACAATTTTTCCACGCACCAGGGGCCTGGAAGGGATGGTGTCAGGATGAAGCCATTCCACCTCAGATCATTAGGCATTTTCTCATAAGGAGCACACAACCTAGATCCCTTGCATCTGCAGTTCACAGTAAGGTTCACATTCCTATAAGAATCTAATGCTGCTGCTGATGTGACAGGTGGTAATGCTCGCTCACCCTTCGCTCACTTCCTTCTGTACGGCCCCGTTCCTGACAGGCCATGGACCAGTACTGGTCTGCAGCCCAGGAATTGGAGACCCCTTCGTTAAGAGATCAACCAGCTCTTCAATATGTGAAGGTTTATGTGGGTAATTATATCAGAGGAGAGAAGGTTCTGGTCTCATCCTCTTATAAGGGCACTAATCCCATCATGGGGGCTCTACTGTCATGACCTCATCTAAACCCAGTTATATCCTAAAAGCCCCATCTCCAAATACCATCACATTGAGGATTAGGGCTTCAGCATACAAATTTGAGGGAGATACAAATATTCAGTCCATATCAGCATATGGATGGTGGTTGGAATATAGGAAGAATAAGACTCTCCAGGTAGAGGGTATATAGAGTGCTAAGAACAGAACCTGGGCATGACTTGCAATTGGAGTGCACACAGAGGAAGAGAAGTTGAGGAGGAGTCTAGATGAAGTGATCAGAAATGTGAGAGCAGGACTATCCTCAAAGGAACTCCAAATGTCTTAAATTTGAGCGACAGTGGTACTCAGAGAACATTTGCCTTTAGGAGTTTCATCCTGGAGGAGAAGATATCTTTGTATCTCTTGTTTCCCACCAAACTAAGTGAACTTTCATCTGTTATTTCTAGTCAAAAAGGTAAATGTGAAATGTTATGTAGTCCAATTGAAGCAGACCTTTCATTATTTGATCATGAGTGACCTATAGCCTCAGTTCCAAATTCTTAATAGGGACAAAGTTACCTGTTTTATAATAAAGCTTAAAAAATATTCCCTACCCTGCTCTGTCCTGCTTAACCTCTGAAATCTCCCTAATTGGTCAGCTACTGGGAACAGGTAATGGTTATGTTGAAATCGGCCCACTTTCCATACTTTTGGGACATGTTGTAAGGCTTCATCTGCAAATGGGTGCAAATGTTAAGATTTTAGACAGTGCTAGTTGCCAAGGGCCACCTACAAAGGTAATGCCAGTCCTCGGACCCAAATCCCAGGGGACTCTAGGTCTCAGGTGCAGAGCCTGAATTAAGAACCAACTCAATAACAAAATTCTTAATCCTTGGAAGCTAAAGATCCACTTTTGAAAAATGTATTTCCATATAATATATTGATACTTTTGTTGTGCTCATTATATACTATAAAAGACTTGCAATTCATTTATGCTAGTTGAGTCTCTTTATTTACTTATTTTGAGATGGAGTCTCACTCTGTCACCCAGGCTGGAGTGCAGTGGGACGATCTGAGCTGGCTGCAACCTCCGCCCCCTCCAGGTTCAAGCAATTATCTTGCCTCAGCCTCCCGAGTAGCTGGGATTACAGGCACCCACCACCTTGCCCGGCTAATTTTTGTATTTTTAGTAGAGACGGGGTTTCGCCATGTTGGCCAGGCTGGTCTCGAATTCCTGACCTCAGGTGATCCACATGCCTTGCCCTCCCAAAGTGCTGGGATTACAGGCGTGAACCACCGCACCTGTCCTTGTTGAGGGTTCTTGCATCTATCTTCATCAGGGATACTGGCCTATAGATTTTTTTTTTCTTGTGTCCATATTTAGTTTTGGTATCAGGGTAATGCTGGCCTCACAGGATGAGTTTGAGAAGAATTGGTATTAGTTCTTCTTTAACTGTTTGGTAGAATTCAGCAGTGAAGCAATCAGGGCCTGGGCTTTTATTTGATGGGAGACTTTATATTACTGATTCAATCTCATTACTCATAGTTGGTCTTTTCAGGTTTTCTATTTCTTCTTGGTTCAATTTTGATAAGTTGTATCTGTTCAGGAATTTACCCATTTCCATTTGGTTTCCAATTTGTTGGCATATAGTTGTTCATAACAGTCTCTAATGATCCTTTGTATTTCTGTGGTATCGGTTTAATGTCTTCTAGGCCCCTGCTGCTTTCAACACCCTGAAGGGTACAAAAAAAAAAATTAAGGTCTTTCCTTCAGTGATTTTATTCTTAATTAAAGAGAACAATCACATGAAGAAAATGAGTAAATGCTAAACTATGTTGTGCTGATTTTAAGAATGACAGTTTTAAAGGGAGTGATCACTGTGAGCTAGAAGGATTAAGAAAAACATATGGAAACGGGTGAATTATATCCATAGATATAATGAGCCCAGATAATTGATTCATCTGGATTCCCTGGAACAATCCCAGCTGGAAATGTTGTGTATGATTACCTTCATAGGAAGCACTGGAGTTCAAAATTTAACAATGACTAGTATAATAATTAAGGATACAATTATTCCAAAGACTTGGAACACAAAAGTTTATCCAATTTAAACAAAAGCAACCTTGCAGATTTTATTCCTACCTTAAACTAGTTTGCTGAGCACTTACAATGTTCCAGGCACAGCAGAGAGCGACCTGCGTTAGCCAGGCAGAACGCCCGCTTTCACTAAGCTTATTTCTCTCATGGTTTTTTGTTTTTGAGACGGAGCCTCACTCTCTCGCCCAGGCAATGGTGTGATCTCGGTCCACTGCAACCTCCGCCGCCCCCCCAGCCCCCACCCCAGGGTTCAAGCGATTCTCCTGCTTCAGCCTCCTGAGTAGCTGGGATTGCAGGAGCCCGCCCAGCCACCCAAGTAGCTGGGATTGCAGGTGCCCGCCCCCATGCCCGGCTAATTTTTGTATTTTTTTAGTAGAGACGGGGTTTCACCACGTTGGCCAGGCTGGTCTCGAACTCCTGATCTCAAGTGATTCGCCCACCTCGGCCTCCCAAAGTGCTGGGATTGCAGGCACCGCGCCCGGCCAGTTTATTTCTTTCAAGAGACATTGGCGTTGAGACTATCTGAATCAATACAGTAACTACGCCTACTGAACACCTACCACGTGCCAGGTATTGAACTAAGTCCCCCTTCATATGCCATTTCATGTAATTATCTCAACAACCCTACCCAGTTAGCAGCAAGGTTTCCAGTTCTGCCTTCGAAGGGAACCTCCTCTCACCAGACATCCCTATGACAGACCCTACGAAACATTTTGCTGCATCAGAATGCTACAGGTCGTCAAATCCCTAACATGCGCAAAAGCGGGTAGCGGATTATCGCGGGTAGCGGATTATCCAGAGTAGCAGGCCTGGCCCGCTGCCTGCCTGGCGCAGCGCATCTCCCTAGCAACGAAACCCTTCCGCGCCGCGAGGTGGCTGAGCCCCGCCCCCTCTATTGGCGCGCCCTCACCATCCCCCGCCCCCGGCGCGCGTTCTGCGCATGCGTACGCTCGCTAGTCCCGCCCCCTCGCGCCGCGGTCGGAGCCATTTCGCCGATTCCTCCATGCGAGTTGCAGTGCGTTTCTCTGTTGTCTCCGTGGAAGGCCAGAGTCACACACGGTCCTAAGAGCTGGGCACCAGGAAGCGAAGGCTGGTAAGGGAGAGACGTTACGACCATCATGCGGGGCGGCGGGGTCGCGGGCGGGCTGCGTGGACCGTGGCTCCGCAGCCGGCTTTGTTGCGAAGCGCGGGCGGCGGCGGCGGCTGGGGGTGGGGGAAGGGACGAGCCGCCCGCGGGTCCCCGGATTGCGGGTTGCGTGCGCGCCTCGCCGAGGTGCGCTTGCGCTGCCCAGGCCGCCTGTGGCCCCCTCCCCTTCGCCCAGCGGTTCCCGCTGCTGCCTCTAGCAGCCAAGGCCCGCTTCCTCCTCTGGCCTGCGTACGCCGGAGCACCGCGGCGGCTGAGGGAAGAGGGTGCATCGCCTGTGGTGGTTGCCGCCGGGGCGCCACTCACCTAGGGCCTTTCAGTCATTCATTCAAGCCACAAATAACTGGCGCCGTCGTGCAGGCCTTGTGGCTAGAGCAAAAAGAAATTAAAGAATGTGAAGGGAGAGCGCCTTTGGCTAGTATAGCGAGGTGAGGCGTCTCGAAGGAGGGAGGCTTTGAGCTGATCACCTCGGCCGACGCGAAGGAAAAGCAGAGCCTGCAGAAGCGGAAGGGATTAGTTAGCGCCTAACGGCAGAGACTGCGCGGGAGCTGAAAGCAGGCCATGTGACTGGAGTGTGGCGAGAAGGCCTTCAAAGGAGAATGGGTTTTAGGGTGGCAAGAATGGAAACAGAAACCGTATAGGACAGTATTTAGCCGGGTGTGCAGTAGTGGTGGCAGGAGAGATGGGGAGAAACGAATGGATAGGGGACGTATTTTGAAGGAGAAATGCGCAGTGGTGGAAGGTAGTAGATCTGGAGTCAGGCTACGTTTTCTGAAATTCTTGATTTTTTTTTTTTTTTTTTTTGGACGGAGTCTCTCTCTGTCGCCAGGCTGGAGTGCAGTGGCGCGATCGCGGCCCACTGCAACCTCCGTCTCCCGGGTTCAAGTGATTCTCCTGCCTCAGCCTCCCTCAGTAGCTGGGACTACAGGCGCGCGCCACCACGCCCAGCTAATTTTTGTATTTTTAGTAGAAACGGGGTTTCATCATGTTGGCCAGGATGATCTCGGTATCTTGACCTCGTGATCCGACTGCCTTGGCCTTCCAAAGTGTTAGGATTCCAGGCGTGAGCCACAGCGCCTGCCCGAATTATTGTTCTTCTAATTAGTAGCTCTGTCTTTCTGAGGCAAGATATTCTTTGTCTCAGTTTCCTTCTCTAAAGGGATAGTGGTCTTACCTATACAAGATTACTAAGGATTAAGTAAAATAGTTCCATTTAGATGATCTATTATGGATATTGTTTGACACACAGTAAGGGTTCTACAAAGGATAACTATGGAGAATCTTCAGGGAGTGGACGACTCTCAACTTGTGCCAGGAGTAACTTGGTGGATGTTGTGCCGTTTATGGAAACCGAAATGTAGGGTAGGGTGTTGGAACAGATTTGAGGGGAAATTTAAAATTCTGTTTTGACTGAGATGCCAAGATAGCATGCAGATGGGTGAGTTAGTGCCACAGTTGGATGCATTTGATTTTGGACTTTAAAGAGAAACGACGGGCCGGGAGCTGTGGCTAACGCCTGTAATCCCAGCACTTTGGGAGGCTGAGGCGGGCGGATCAAGAGGTTAGGAGATCCAGACAACCCCGGCTAACACGGTGAAACCCCGTGTATACTAAAAATATAAAAAATTAGCTGGTCGTGGTGGCGGGCGCCTGTAGTCCCGGCTACTGGGGAGGCTGAGGCAGGAGAATCGCTTGAACCCTGGAGGCGGAGGTTGCAGTGAGCCGAGATCTCGCCACTACAGTCTGCGACTGAATGAGACTCTGTCTCAAAAAAAGAAAAAAAAAGAGAGAAAAGACTAAACCTTCAATATATATATTTGAGCATCGATAGCATGTAGTTGGTATTGAAAATTATGGGGTTGTATGAGACTAGAGAGACAGGAGTTTGATAGTATAATCCTTCATATTACTCATTCACCATGAGGGCTTGTTGTTTAATTATTCACGAGGTGGAATTTCCAGATAAACATCTTCAGCTTTCCACGGCTTTTTTGTTAATAGAACATTCCCTTCGCCACATGGATGACCAGAGTTAGACTGTGACCACTCAAACGTAACAAATTTATGCCAGGGTACAGTTTGATGCATTAGACGTAGGTGCTAACAAAATGCATCAAACGTGAAACGTGAAGCAGACGGTTTAATGCTGGTAATAGGATTCGTTTCACAGCAAACTAAATTCATAGCACATTTTATTTTCTCTGGTTATAAATGTGGTCTCAGATATCTTCCTTACAGTTTAGACTCAGCATTTAGACTGATAGGCTCCATATCTTCTGGTATTTTATAGACTGAGACAGAGAGGGAGTGCCAAGACTGATTGCTGCATTTCAAGAAAACTTTAGTATCCTCAAATTTTAATAAATAATAAAGCCTAAAGGAGAGATTTGGTATAGAACATTTAAGTTAATAATAGGTCACTGTCTTCAGTACTGAGTGCTTAATGTATTTGAACTTTATTATATTATTAATACATGACCACAACTTTGGAAACAGTGTGCTAATGGTCATAATCAGAATGAGAATAAAACATTGAGTTTATATGCAAATGATAGCTGTTTCTTAATATATAGTTGTTTGAATTTGAATTTAGGCCTCCACTGTGGGTGACTTGGAAGTTACTTAACTTTCTAAGTCTTAGTTTAGGAAGGAAGGAAGTTTAGGAGGGAAGCTTCCTGAAAAGACAATGATAGTACCCACCATATCTGTGTGCCGTTGTTGTGAGGATGAACTGAGTTAAATAATAAGGTGCCCGTTGTAGAATGTAGGGCCTTATATAAAATACTTTGTAACAAAAGATAAAAATCACTCTTAGTCCCCAAAGATAACCATTTTAGGGGGTATTTCTTTCCAGTCTTGCTCATGTGTATGTATTTTTCATGTAGTTCAAATCATACCGTTTTGTATCCTTTTTCTTACAACATGTAAAAGTTTCAATTATGTCATTAAAATTTATATGTGGGAAGTCTTAGCAACATGATAGAATATCCTATGTTTAACCTAGATTCAGTGATCCAGATAATTGGTTCCTCCCAGTTTTTGCTATTATAAATTGTGTTTTTAACTGACTTTTGTTTTCTTAGATCTGAAGAAGACACTTGAATCATGGGTGACGTTAAAAATTTTCTGTATGCCTGGTGTGGCAAAAGGAAGATGACCCCGTCCTATGAAATTAGAGCGGTGGGGAACAAAAACAGGCAGAAATTCATGTGTGAGGTACTAAAGAATACAGTTTGCATTTATGTGATTTATGAGGTTCATTTTGGGGTTAAAAGAATGTTTTCTGTTTGGAGATGTTAATGTGTTGCACATTAGGAAACAACAGTTTATTATTGTGACTTGACTCCTATTCTAAATCATTTTCAAGTCAGGATTGCTTTTAAAGCAATCTGACAGGTAAATTATTCTAATTAGAGCCTATATCTTCCTCAGCACCAGTAGTCGGGATGGGAAAAGTTGGATCAACTGTTTGCAGTTTTACAAGCACCTTTAGAAAGCAGAGCAATTCTTGATTGCTTCAAATCAAAGTGCTTAAATACAACTGAAGAGCTTGTTCGTGCATATTACAGAATCAGATTGTAATGTGAACCTTCTGTTATATGAGAAAAAAATAGCTGAACCTCTTAACATTGTTTTTGTGTTATCACTATACAACACAATTCAAGCTTTTTCTTTCAGTAGCTCATGAATTCTCTTAGGTGTATTATTTTCAGTGTATTTCTAGAGTATATTTCCTAAAGTTAGCTGTTTTGTTTTTTGTTTCTTTTTTTTTAAGGTTCAGGTGGAAGGCTATAATTACACTGGCATGGGAAATTCCACCAATAAAAAAGATGCACAAAGTAATGCTGCCAGAGACTTTGTTAACTATTTGGTTCGAATAAATGAAATAAAGAGTGAAGAAGTTCCAGCTTTTGGGGTAAGTACCTATGGCCAAGCAGTTGAGATGCGTGTTGTAAAGTTGTACAAAGTCAATATGCGTAAGAGACTCAGGATAATAATTTTTCACTGTTTACGTATATATCGTGTTTCTTAACGAAATTTGGTATCTTGTTTTCTCTCAGGACTGGACAAAATTTCTGAAGATGTGGATTGCATCCTTATTATGTACCTGTCTTAGGGGCTTGAGAAATTCCATTAATCTTTATGTCTTATGGTTTTATTTGTTTCATGTATTCATACACCAGAAATTTCAGAGTCTGTTATGTTCCATTCATTTCCAGTGATAATACTTTAAATAGAAAAATCAGTAATATTTTAGACATGTTTGCTCCCATTGACACTCCCTCCACCCCCCACCCCAGGTAAGCAATGAGTCCTTGCTCTGTCACCCAGGCTAGAATGCAGTGACAACCATAGCTCACTGCAGCCTCAAATTCTTGGGCTCAAGCAATCCTTCATCCTTACCCCTCTTAGTAGCTGGACTACAGGTTCATGCCATCACTTCTGGCAAGTTGTTTGTTTTTTGAGGCAGTCTTGCTCTGTTGCCCAGGCTGGAGTGATCTTGGCTCACTGCAACCTCCACCTTCTGGGTTCAAGCGATTCTCTCCTGCCTCAGCCTCCAAGTAGCTGGGATTACAGGCATGCTCCATGGTGCCCCCCTATTTTTTGTATTTTTAGTAGAGATGGGGTCTCACCATGTTGGCCAGGCTGGTCTTGAACTCCTGACCTCCAGTGATCCATCCACCCGCTTCGGTCTTCCAAAGTGCTGGGATCACAGGCATGAGCCACTGCACCTGGCTGACATATCCTTATATAACAAAATAGTATTTTATGCAATAGAGTATTTTTGTGTTTTTTATATCATGATTGTTTTAAGTATGTAAGTATGCAAGAGATACCTCTGTCTAGTAGGTTGTTTTTTGGGGATTTTGTTTTGTTTTTCTGCCTTTTTTGTTTTTGAGGCTGGAGTGCAGTGACTATTCATAGGCTCCGTCAAACTCTTGGCCTCAAGCCATCCTCCCACCTCAGCTCTACCCCAGTAGCTGGGACTGTGCATATGTGCCGCTACACTAGGCTTTACTAGTTTTTGAGAAATAAGCTTTATTTCTTTTTCTTTTATTTTTTTAAGATGGAGTCTCGCTCTGTTACCTAGGGTGGAATGCAGTGGCACAATCTGGGCTCACCGCAACCTCCACCTTCCGTGTTCAAGCAATTATTCTGCCTCAGTCTCCTGAGTAGCTGGGATTAACAGGTGTGAGTCACCACACCCAGCTTATTATTATTATTATTATTATTTTTTTTTTTTTTTTTTTTTTGAGACAAAGTCTTGCTCTTGTTCCCTAAGCTGGAGTGCAGTGGTGGAATCTCGACTCACTGCAATCTCTGCCTCCCGGGTTCAAGCGATTCTCCTGCCTCAGCCTCCCAAGTCGCTGGGATAACAGATACCTGCCAACATGCCCAGCTAATTTTATATTTTTAGTAGAGTCGGGGTTTTACCATTTTGGCCAGGCTGGTCTCAAACTCCTGACCTTGGCCTCCCAAAGTGCTGGGATTATAGGCATGAACCACCACGCCCTTCCTACGCCCAGCTAATTTTTGTATTTTTAGTAGAGATAGATTTTCACCATGCTGGCCAGGCTTGTCTTGAACTCCTGACCTTAAGTAATCCGCCCCCTTCAGCCTCCCAAAGTGCTGGGATTACAGGCGTGAGCCACCACACCCGGCCTGTCTATGCCAGTTTTAACAGGGTCCTGTTACTGAATTTTTGTATACTGACTTGTTATAAAAGAAATCTTGGCCGGGCGTGGTGGCTCAAGCCTGTAATTCCAGCACTTTGGGAGGCCAAGGGCGGATCACGAGGTCAGGAGATCATGACCATCCTGGCTAACACAGTGAAACCCCGTCTCTACTAAAAAAAATACAAAAAACTAGCCGGGCGAGGTGGCGGGCACCTGTAGTCCCAGCTACTCGGGAGACGGAAGCAGGAGAATGGCGTGAACCTGGGACACGGTGCTTGCAGTGAGCCCAGATCGCGCCACTGCACTCCAGCCTGGGCGACAGAGCGAGACTCCGTCTCAAAATAAAAAAGAAAAAGAAATCTTATTTTCTTCCATTCCTTTGCCTAACGATAGACTTACTTTTTGGTAGATTAACTGCTGGATAATTATAATATCTTACAGTCTTTAATTTCATTGGTTTGCCTCTCTGTAAAATGAAGGGATTGGGCAAGATGATCTTGAAAATGCCTTCTGGTTGAGAAAACAGTTTTACATGTTTGAAGTCCTTGAAGTCTCTATTCATTCTTTATCTTTTACGCTCTTCTCTATAGTCTTGTAGATCTGCTGGTGACAAATTCTCTTTATTTTCTTTTCTGAAAATACTGTTATTTTACCTTCTTTAAGAATACTTTCACCGGATATAGAATTCTAGGGTGCCAGACTTTTTCCCCCTTTTAGTATGTAAGTGGGGAAAAAAAAAGTTTTTCTTCTTCTCTCATACCCCAATAATCAACACAGAAGATTTCTGTGACTAAATGAGGGGCAGGGGTGGGAGGCTTTTTCCACACACACCAAGCCAGCAATCAGTTCTGCAGCAGACAGTAGCTGGGTCTCCTCCAGTTCACCTCTGACACTACCTGGAGATAGCGTCAGATCCCACAGGGTGAAGGCTCAGTCCCACAAGACTCCAGTCCCTTCAGACACCACCTGCAAGTCTGGGCCTCTAGAACTTCTGCCTAACTAGCTTCAAGTTATGGTTTTCATGACTGCCTCTTTGGGGTCAGTTAATTTGCTAGTGTGGCTTACAGAACTCAGGAAAACCTGCATTTATAAATTATAAATAAACCAGTTTATTATAAAGGATACTACAAAATACAGTTGAAGAGATACATAGGGCAAGATATGGAGGAGGTGACAGGGAGCTCCCATGCCCTGCCTCGAACACCATTCTTCAGGAACCTCCATGTATTCTGCTATTTGGAAGCCCTCCAAATCCTGTCCTTTGGTTTTTATGGAAACTTCATTATTCAGTATTGATTAAATCGTTTGCCAATGGTGACTTGACCTTCAGCCCTTCTCCCCTCACCGGAGGTTGGTAGGTGGAACTGAAAGTTCTAGCCCTCTAATCTTTTCTTGGTCTTTCCAGTGACCATCCCTCACACCGAAGCTACCTAGGGCCTGCCTGCTGGCAGTCAACTCATTAGCATACAAAAAGTCTCCACTTAGGAGATTATAAGGATTTAGGAGTTCTATGCCAGGGAAAGGGGATTGAAGACCAAATACCTTTTTTTTTTTTTTTTTTTTTTGAGATGGAGTTTCACTCTTGCTGCCCAG